TATATATATATATATATATATATATATATATTATTGACAGCTGTCAAAAAATTGAAAAAATATTACTCGCTATAAATAATTGTTTGTTCTTTTGTTGTTTATTTAAAAACAATTAATTAAAAACATACCCTTCCGTTAGCCCCCGCAATCAAAGTTATTAATATTTTTCTCTCATTGCTTCTTTTTGTTTAATTAATAATTTTTAATTACCTTAATACTTATTTTTTCAAACTTGCATTGCGCATGCATCGCCTTTGCGTTTAAGGCAGTCTTTTTAAATAAGTAATAGCTCGATTTATTTAGAAAAAGCCAGAAAATATGAAAAAGAAACAGCTTCGTGAAGTATCGATCAATCGAAAATGCGATAAGAAATTGTTAATATGTTTAATTTAATTCGTATAAATAATAAAATTTATTCACTAATACATAAGCAGGATATATAATTTTATCAAAATTTTATTTTTTTTTCTTACACTCTTTTAATGTTTTGACTTAGTTTTCCCTCTTTGAACCCGAGTATTTAATAATTAATATAAAATTATCTATACAAAGTATCTGAGGAAATAGTTGTAACACTTTGATCTTTAAAACTCTGACATAAAATCGCGTTATCGTTTTTATTGCATTTGTCTTCTGGTGATTGTCCTGCATGAAATTCGTTATTGCATTTTGGCTTTTTCGAATTTATGCTATAACTGTGATCTTCATGTCTTTTGAGCATGATTATGGAGTCATTTAGGTCTTCTGCTAATTGTGTATTTCTGATGTGTTCTGATGTATTCTCAGATGTGGTGACTGGATAATTTGATTCAATGTTATCCGATACATCCATCGCATAATCTGATGTCCAGTCATAATCCATTGCAGCTTCATTTTTTCCTTTCCCCTTCCAATTCTCATAAAAATTTTCTTCTTTTGATGTTTTTAAGTCGTCGCAATGATCAACTACAAATTTTGTCAATTTGGAACGGAATATATTAATGCCACCTAAAATATCATCAATGTGGAGTTTCAAAAATTTTATTACTGATGTAGGTAACTTAACTTTTTTACTTAATGTCATTTTTAAGTCTTTAAAGGCTGTTTCTACGAAACAAGAGTTTGGTCGTAGCATAGTCTCAGGTGTACACACATTCGACCAAAGTGGAAAGTCTTTCATGTTATCAACAAGATTACCATACAATTCTGGAACGTAGTGTGTATTTAACTTCTTTCCAGTGAAGATTACAGTATTAGTTTTTCGACAAACTTTATCAATCCATCTTAAAAGAGCGACTGACCACCCCTTATTGTCAGTAGCTTTTTGTGATAATTCTTCAAAAACCAACGTTTTATCAGGATCGACTTCGACAAAATCAATATTGTTAAGATCAAGGTTAAGATCATTGCTAAGATCCCGGGTTGCAATTAATTTTTCTAAAGTTTTCTTAGCTTCACCCGGCGTAATCATACGGTCATCTATTGCTATTATTGAATCTTCAAACTCGGTTCTACATACTATTAATATCAGCGTGAAAATTTCTTCTAATGAAGATAGACTTTTACAATCTATCATTAGTGCAACACAATATAGAAAAAAAGACTTGACAATTTTATGCAGCACTGACTGAAAACATTTCCATCTGCTAACTGTATGAAGAAAGTGTGCTGTATCCAATCGTATGAAAGTACGAGGTTGTAAACCATTGTTGGTAGTTAAGCTCTTAAAAACGAAGTTAATATATTCTTTCAAATTTTTACCATTAAATGCCGTTGACATGGCGTTTAATAAAGCTCGGAATCCATCAGAAACTGCTTGTCGTGGTAAAGTAACTTTGTTTACTCATTCAGAAAGCCAAAAGGAAATAAAATTAGCACTGTGTTTCTCTGATAACATTTGATTTACGGGTACGGTTGTTCCATCAAAGTTAATAACTATCTGATATAAAAATATGTAGCCACTTTTGTTAGGGCCCGATTCAGTTAATTTTTTCACTAAGCCACCAGTTGCGTCGATGCTTATCGATGAATATTATCTATGTATGCGTTCATACTCTGCATAAGTGTGGAATTGCGTCGGAGTCATATAAAACACAAAGAATGGTGTATCCCCGGTCCATGAAATGGAATTCATGTATTGTGGATCCTTATTCATATTACGTATAGCTAATACTACATCTCTTCGATCATCAGGAGTTATTCCAAGCTCTTTATCCGAAGCTTCTTTTTTAGCTTGATGAAGTGTATTTGACTCGTATAAAAACGGTGATCCAGTATCTCCAGGTTCTAGAATTTTTTTGGCTTCTTCTTTTCTCCAACCTAATACACCTGAACGTAAAATATTTTGTTGGACTTCCTTTCGTTTATACCCATTGAGAGGACGTTTCACGTCAGCATGCTTAGAATTACGTGTATCCCGGCATTTCATAGTAATGACAACAGGTCCTTCATCTAAAGGAGGATTTTTTATGATCCCTCGAATAGGATTGAGGCAAGAGCCATCTTTGCAATATCCAGTTATAGTGGCATAATAATTATCACTTGTTTTATTAATTTTTCCATGTTTAAATACAAACGCAAATTTGAGACGATACTGCTCCCAAAGAGCAAATGAAATTATGTTTGTCCACACGCCAGGCTCAAAACCGTGATACCGGCGACCTTTGTATATGAATGGTTCATCGCGTTTCATTAAATTCCATTGTTTACGAGAAATTGTTACATGAAAATTTTCAAATTCATCATCATTGTAACCTTCATCCGATAGGAGGTCATCATCTGCCTTGATGTCATCATCATTAGTATCATTGGTATTAGAATGATCTCCACTATCTGTTGAAGTATTACAAACAGGGGAAATATTTTCTTTATTATTAAAATAAATCCCATATTTTTCTCGAGCAATACTTAAAATTCTTCTTCTATCTTGACGGACATTTATCCGTACAGCCGGGACTTTCCATAATCCGTTCAACTCTTCAGAAATATTTTTCCATACTGGTGAACTGTGCACTGGTAAAACCTCAGTAGTGAAGTATGAAATATGTTTAATTAATGCATTCACTGCCAAATCAACAGACACTGCCGATGTAGCTGGCATGATGATAGTACACTTGCTAGGATATTCTGAAAAATTTAAAAAAAAATTGTAAGCAACTGAATAATGTTATCACAATGACTGTAAATTCCACAAACATATGATAACTGAAAACTAAAAACAATGAATACTTTTATTGTCAAGTACTTTGCACTAAACTGAACTGTTGAAAACTGCTAGTGAGTCTTATAATAAAACAATAATCGTTTCTCGTTTATATATAATAATATACAAGGTCAGCGAGCAAGTATCTATAAAAGTGCATACCTACATGTTTACATATTTACTTTAACGTTTAGGTTCATGTAGGGATATTAACAGCACGTGTGTATTTGTTTAGATATATCTATAAGTAAAACTGTAAATAAACTAAAATAATTCTATACTTCATGGTTTTAATAGATAGTGAACTGAACTCAATCTTAAGTTATAAAATTGTTTGAAATTTAATCCTTGTTACAACTAATCATCGCGGATATACGGTACATCACCGCTACGCTGCAGATTTTTTTATAAATTTTAAGTAAATGTAAGATAAAATACAAAACTTACCATTTAAATTAATGTTCACACAGCAGATATTAAAAATCGAAATTAGCAAAATTATATTCCTTAGTTTTAATCGGTGCCAAAAAACATTCTGGCTTTTCATCATTTTCACTCGATTAATGTATGACATTGTAGTTAACGATCGAAACATCTTTAATATTTAAAAAAAATTCTGAATCGTTTCCAATCAATATCTCCCTCTGAAAAAAAGTAATAAATAATGATTAATTTTATAATTCAACTATCTTGTCGTAGATGTTAATTATCGTTGTTCAAAGAATTGTGGAACTATTATTATGATTTTTAAACAATTAAACATAAGTAAAGGTATATACTGATTTACTAGTGAATAAAGTTGTTTCCACACTTCCAAATGACGTCATACTTATAAATGACACTTATAAATGACGTCATATTAAAGTCATGTGTTCACTGGGATTTGATTTATATTTGATTGAAAATTAAAAATTTTTTGTTTTACTTACAGTAAATTAAAACTAACCTAAAAGTTTTAATTAAAAAATTGTAGGTCCATGTGTTCCCAAGGAAACAAAAACTACACTTTTTATTTTTTTCACATACTCCAAATTCAGTTAATTCACTGAAGAGTTTCATCAATAAAAATCATTATATAATATATATAGATAATAATAATTAATATATTTATTTAAATTTACAGTCGAACACAGTCTCACAAAAATGTGACAAGTAATTTGACCGCCTTGAACGCAAAGGCGACGCATGCGCAATGCAAGTTTTTGCAAAATTGTATTAAGGTAATTAAAAACTATTAATTAAACAAAAAAAAAGCAATTAAATGTTAGAACAAACATAATTTATTAAAGAACAAACGTGAATGTGTATTTACAAACTAATATTGAGAGAAAAATATTAATAACTTTGATTGCGGGGGCTAACTAAAGGGTATGTTTTTAATTAATCGTTTTTAAATGAACAACAAAAGAACAAACAATTATTTATAGCGAACAATTAAGAACAAACTACGAACTAACGATATGCGATATTGAAAATTCAAAAATAGAAAAAAAAATTTTTTTGGGGGGCTAAGTTTGATGAACCGAATATAAATGAATAAAAGCACAGAAAAATTTACGTATAATTGTATATAAATACAAATGGTTCTATGTAAACTAGATCATCTGTACAATTTTACAGTTGTTCACATGACCAACTGAACAAATAAAATTCCCTATTTTTGAAAATACGTACAACTAATAATATGTTTATTTGATTTCAATTCCACAAGTATAAATGGAAAAATGAACATTACTATAAATGAAAATTTATAAATTTACTAGTTAATAAAAAATATCATTTGAATAAATGATTAATAATACAAGTGTATAAAAAAATAAATGATACATTCACTTAGTGAACTTATGTATTAAAAAAGATAGATCCGGATGTAAAAAAACTATTATAGATATTTGAACAAAAAAAATTGCAAATAAATAATCGTAATAAATAAATGAAGAAATCATTTTATGAATAAACGACATTATGATCATTAGTATTTTTAAGGTTGTGTATAAATAAACATTTATAAACATGATGATCGGTACAAATGAAAGTTGTCCGAATGGATATTTGAATAAATGAAATTCTATCCAAATAAATCAATAAAAATGAACATCTGCATTAAAGTTAATTAGTAAAAATGAATATTTGTCCAGAAGTTAAACTGTCAAAATGAATATTTGTCTAGAAGTTAAACTGTCAAAATGAATATCGGTTAAAAAGAAGATTTCCACGAAATTTCTTATAATTTTATAAGCATGTTGCAATCTATTAAGACCGAATTTTATAACATTTCACTCTCAGAGGGCTGTTACGTGGATGTTAAAAATTAAGAAAACTTAAAACTTTTAATGTATAACTTTTATAGGTTTAAAACGGATTTTATAAGTAGAAATTTTACTCACTGAGGACAGTGCGAGAGCGTTAAATATTTAAAAAAATTAGGAAAACGATTGACCCTAAAGGCCATCCCTGCAACTTCCCGCTAATTCCATACCCAAGCGCTTAAAATTGCATTTATAATGTTTTTGAGCTCTCTGAATAAAATCCGTTTTAAACCTATAAAAGTTACACATTAAAAGTTTTAAGTTTTCTTAATTTTTAACATCCACGTAACAGCCCTCTGAGAGTGAAATGTTATAAAATTCGGTCTTAATAGATTGCAACATGCTTATAAAATTATAAGAATATATAAATTTCGTGGAAATCTTTTTTTTAATGGATATTCATTTCTTCTAGACAAATATTCATTTTGACAGTTTAACTTCTGGACAAATATTCATTTTTACTGATTAACTTTAATGCAGATGTTCATTTTTATTGATTTATTTGGATAGCTTGAATTTCATTTATTCAAATATCCATTCGGACAACTTTCATTTGTACCGATCATCATGTTTACAAATGTTTATTTATACACAACCTTAAAAATACTAATGATCATAATCTCGTTTATTCATAAAATCATTTCTACATTTATTCATTACGATTATTTATCCGCAATTTCTTTTGTTCAAATAATTATAATAGTTTTTTTACATCCGGATCTATCTTTTTAAATACATAAGTTCATTAAGTGAATGTATCATTTATTTTTTTATACACTTGTATTATTAATCATTTATTCAAATGATATTTTTTATTAACTAGTCAATTTATAAATTTTCATTTATAGTAATGTTCATTTTTCCATTTATACGTGTGGAATTGAAATCAAATAAACATATTATTAGATGTACGTATTTTCAAAAATAGGGAATTTCATTTGTTCAGTTGGTCATATGAACAACTGTAAAATTGTACAGATGATCTAGTTTACATAGAATCATTTGTATTTATATACAACTATACGTAAATTTTTCTGTGCTTTTTCATTTATATTCATCAGCATTTTTACAAACTTTCATATTTATTTGGACAAATTT